CTATAGGGCGCGTGCGCTCGCCAGACAGACAGAGAGAGACATAGAGACAGAAAGTGAGAAATCACCCCCCAGGGGGGATGGCCCCGCCACAATCCCTTCTCCTCCATTCTCCTCTCAGGATCTTGGGCACGCACGCACACGCGCCCGGCGTGAGTTTTAAGCCACCAGGTCGGGGACACGAACCGCGGTCGACTACGTGGGAGTCCAGTGACATAGCCATTACGCTAACTGCTGATCCCCCAGAGATTTTTTTGTTTGGAATCAATTTTGAAAGTTCAGATATAGCTTGGAAAAAAGAGGAAGTACATTACACATCATTTGGTATAGGAGATGGAGTGAGAGAAAATATTTTATGAAGAAACATTCTGTAAAATTAGAAATTACTTTTTAAAATCTATTTGAAGTTTAGCTTGGAGAATGCCATCTCTGACTACATGGCCTTGTGTTGCAAAGCAGACCAGTGGCTGGGTGCCTGTTGTGGGTGTGAGTGTGTGCAGGAGTGAGCCAAGCCAAATCTATTGTCATCTTAGTAAATGATCTCAAAAGTGAATGCAATACTTGAGTAGATTTTTCTTTTCACACTGAAATTTAGTCGTCTTTTTGACCTTACTAATATTTCATTCAACGAGTTGTTAAACTCCGAATGTACTTGGAGAAATGACTATCAATCAGCTTGATACTTACGGAAAGAATGGGGGTTATCAAAAAAATAGAAAATTTTGTCTGAGATCTGCGTAAATGGGACATCTGAGGTTTAAACTGCCCTGTGATTCCCCCTACCAAAATGAGAAACGAAATTTTTTTGTACTCAGTTACTCTGTTCTTTGATTACACACCACCTCCAAAACAGAATAACCAAGCATCTGCTGAATCAAATATTTCTGTTTTGACTAGTCTAGTCGAATCATGTAACTGTTAAAAATTCCTGACTGTGGGACCAGCAGTTAGCGTTAATGGCTATGTCACTGGACTCCCACGTAGTTGACTGCGGTTCGCGTCCTGGACCCGGTGGCTTGGAACTCACGCCGGGCGCGTGTGTGTGCGTGCCCAAGATCCCGAGAGGAGAATGGAGGAGAAGGGATTGTGGCGTGGCCATCCCCCCTGGGGGGTGATTTCTCGCTTTCTATCTCTCTGTCTCTCTGTCTGTCTGGCGAGCGCACGCGCCCTATGGCAAAGAACCTCTCCAAAAAAAAAAAAAAAAAGAAATTCCTGACTTTAACATTGAAGTATTTTACTCTTATGTTCATAGACTTAGAATTTTAGGTTCAAGAGCAGTAGGGCAGACCAACCCTACAGTAATTTATTCGTGTTGGTGTTAAAGATGGCCGAGAGTAGGGGTCAGTCATGGTATGCAGACCTTGTTGGAGGTGCCTATCTCTGCTCTCTCTTTCTGTCTCTCTCTCTTTTAATGGGAGTAATAAAACAAAAAGAGATAAAGAAGAAAAGTAAGTCATGTTGCTGATCTGTGTCTTTACAAAGTCTTACTAATTTTTGTCAACCATACCACTTTCTTTTGGACACTTCTTACAACTAATTACCTCAACACCTTTTCTCTTTTATTATCCTCTTGGGGTTTTCGGCAGGCATGTGCTCATGTGGTGTGATTTTCAAGCCCCTGGGTCGAGGACTCAAACCACAGAGTTAGCCATGTTAGCATCTAGGTGCCTTAACCTCGGTGCCACCTACTCTTCCCAGCGTCCCTCCAGTTCCCACATTTTAATCTGTATTTACCTATCTTCCCAAGTCCTGGTACTGGCTACTGTGTTGTCCAGTCGCCCTCTCTGCCTCAGCTTCTCTTAGTACCTGCTCTTATTTTTGGCCTCCTTCACTGGGCTTTTCCCTAGATGGTCTCATTTGGCCCAGACCTACCCGCCCACCAGGCGTTCGGGTGCCCTTGAGAACTCAAGTACGACCGTCTTCCTCACCAGCGTTTCTCCTCTGTCCTCCCCTGCGGGATTCGGAGGTAGCCCCAGTTCCAGCCGTGCTCTGAGCCTCCTGGGCGCATCCCTCTCAGCCGGCATCTGTCAGGGCCCGGCTGAGACCTCCGGACGACGTCTCTGGTCCGCCTGCCCTCACTGCGCACTCCACCCAGGTCAGGAGTCGCCCTCGCTGCCCTGGACCAGCCTACCCAAGGCTCTCCTCCCTGTCAGCCCCCACCTGGGTCCTCCCGACCCTCTTGCAGCCCCCCCAGGCCTCCCCGGCCAGTCAGGTGGGCGGCCCCACCTGCGCTCTGCCCGGTGACCCGTGGCACTTACCTAGGCGCTGCGGGGGGAAGCCCTCGTATTGCTCGTAGATGTGTCTGCACATCGTGTCCACCCGGCCCTGCTTCTGTTCCAGAATGTCCTTCCGGTCGTTCCAGTGATTGACGCTGGGCCGCCCCAGCTCGGTCACCGCCTGGAACTTGCCCAGGTGGCTGTCGAAGCGTGCGTACTCCTCCCGGTTGTAGACGTGTCTCTCCACGTAGCGCTGCGTCCCGTTGACTGTGTAGCACTCCTGCAGACCCTGCCACACGTACTTCCCTGCAGGGAGGGGGCGGTGAGACTTCCCGGGGCAGCTCTGTTCTTGGTCACACTGTGGGAGTGATTGTTTTGCACATCTGTTTCATCCTCTCCAACATAACTTCTCAAGGCAAATACCCACTGTCTTCTTTTTATCCAGCATTTAACATAATGTGTAGTAAATTGTTCACTGTGTCAGACAGTGAATGAATTGATAACTAAAAGTAGTGAGTGCCTACCGCCTCAGAATAAACTTTTAAAGGTTTATTGTGTTTAAAATAGCAATCTCTATTTCTTTATTGAAAAGAACATTTAAATGCCTGATCCAGTCAGTCACACAATTTCAGAGACTGCATTTACTATCTAAGTGTGGTGAGACTGCACGTGTGGTTTAAATAGGATGGGCACTTGTTTTCACCAAGTCAGGGGGAGACTAAGAGGAACTGGGAAATGTTAAAGCCAGAGATGAAAAGCCCAAGGGCCTGGATGAAACTGTACTGTTCTCTCCAGCTCCAAATACTGGGAAGCCTTCCTGAGGGCAGAGAAAATAGGCCTGGGGTGTGCAGAAACAAGAAGCAGGTGGTCGTAGGTGTGACCCGACTGCTGCCTCTGTCACTGTAGGAAAGGCAGAGTAACTCTGGCTCACCTGTGAGTTCTGTGCTCTCTCACCCCCACCAGACGCTGCCCTGCTGGTGCTGGTGGCCGAGGACAGAGGGTGAGAATAGCCTCAGGGCAACATGAAAGCTCCAATCTAAACAAACTCCCAGGTCTTGGCTCAGACATTATGAGCAGCCTCCTCTCCTGCCTTTGGTCCCTAGCCCTGAACTCTCTCCTGCCAGCCACCTGCCCCACTAGTCACTGCCCCACTCTGAAAGTGATCCTGTGATTTAATATGTTGGTTCTTGCTTCTCCTTTCCAGTTATCAATCAGGGATCACTTTTCAGTCTAGAAAAATAATTTGAAACTATTTTTTTTGCAACATTTAACTTTATAAATGGAATTTTCCCTGCAAAACAGACTAAGTGATGAGTGGATTTTTTTTTTTTTTTTTTAATTTCAAGCAGTTTGAAAACTACTAGGCCATCCTTTTAGCCTGGTAGCTAAGGGAGCCAGATCACATGGCTGACTACAGTTCAGGGGCTGGCCCTGGTGGTTTAAGAAATAAGCCAAAGATGTGTGTGTCCCAAATCCTGTTAAGATGAAAAATAAGGTAGAAGGAATTGCAGAGTGGCCATGCCCCATGGAGGGTGTTTCCTCCCTCTTTCTCCTTCTCTGGCAAGCACATAGACCCTTTGACAATTAAAAAAGAAAAGAAAAGAAGAGAAAACTACTGATTTAGATAAAGTCATCTCTCATTCACAACAGAATATACTAGAAAAGTAATTTCAGGAAGATATAATGCTAGTTCCATTCCTTTCCCCTTTTATTTCCTCCTGTTTTCTTTTCTTTTCTTTTCCTTTTCTTTCTTTTTTCTTTTTTTGGAGAAGTTTTTGCTATCGGATGCATGCGCTTATCAGAAAGACAGAGACAGAGAGACAGAAAGCGAGAAATCACCCTCTAGGGGGAATAGCCACACTGCAGTCCCTTCTCCATTCTCCTCTCAGGATCTTGGGCATGGACGCACACCCATCCGGCGTGAGTTTAAGCCACCAGGTCTGGGACTCGACCCATGGTCGACTGCATGGGAGTCCAGTGACATAGCCATTATGCCAACTGCTGGTCCTTCTTTCCTCTTTTCTTTTCTTTCTCTTTTCTTCTCTTCTCTTCTTTTCTTTTCTCTTTCTCTCCTTTGGGCTTTGCCATAGGGCATGTGTACTTGTCAGAGAGAGAGAGAGAGAAAGAGAGAGACAGACAGTGAGAGAGAAAATGAGAAATCATTCCTCATGGGGAAGTGATCATGCTACAATCCTTTCTTCTCGGAATTTGGACATACACACATGACTGCATCCAGCATGATTTTCAAGCTACCAGGTCTGGGACTTATACTGCAGTTGGCCATGTGGGAGTCCAACACCTTATCATGCCATCTGCTGGCTCCTTTTTTTTTAGATTTTTTGCCATATGGCACATGCACTCATCGGGGGTGGGGGGAGTGAGAAATTGCTCCCCCAGGGGGGATGGTCATGCCACAGTCCTTTCTCCTCCATTCTCCTCTTGGGATTTTGGGCATGCTTGCACACACACTTGTGTTTTCTAGGCCACTGGGTCAGGACTTGAACCATGGAGTTGGCCATAAAGGATTCAACACCTTAACTACTATGCCACCTGCTGGCCCACCCCTTTCCATTTTCAATATGTGATCTGTTTTAGTACATGTAAAATTCTAAACAAACTCACAGGAAGGAGGGACCAGTTCAGCCTGTGGGTACTGGAAAATATCAAGACTAGGTGCCATTTAGACTAGACCTTAATGGCTGAAAAGTTTGTGTTAACTCTATGCTTTCTATATCTTCCACCTGTCTTTTATCTTAGTGACTTCTGTTGGTGGGATAAAATGACAGAAGTGTAAAAATGCCCAGTGGTCTTTGCAAGTACCCAGCTGGTGTGATGAGACTTGGGAGTGTGGTCCTAAAGCCCTAGGCCAGTGGCTATGGTGATGGGGGAAACTCAGCCATGAAAAACTCATTTTTATAATGTGTCAGAGCCAAAAGGAGGTTACCTCTTGAGTCTGGTATCATGGAGCTCCCTCTGCTGTCTCACCTTATGCTTCCCAGAGGTTGTTTCAGCCAAGCTTTCCTTGTCCTGGGTCCCAGCTCTCTCATGGCTGTTCTCTTCTGCCCTGTTTGTGGTCTGGAAATCTGTAAGGAGTTGGAAGAGAATTGTAGACTCTGCCCTGCCTACTCTCCCACATCCTCTCTTACTCTAGTTCTCTTCTGGCAGGTTTGTGTTAGACATTTGCTCTGTGAGTGTATTCTGGGAACCTAACCTCAATCCCTTTCATAAGCCTGCCCTGCCTCATCTCATTCCTTCTACAAATCTCACTCCACCATTTGTACCCGCCCCACCTCCTGCCCCCACCATCACAAGCACCCTTTTGGGTCTCACCAATTCTGAGTCTCCTTGTCCCCTGCCACTATTTTGTCCATTATCTTACAGAACAGCTCTTCCTATGGGATGCTGGTGTTGTCTCCCCTCGCTCCTGCTGGTCATTATTCAGTGTCACCTAACACACCTCCAGCCTCCTCTTTTATAGCCTATTTCTCTCTGGTCCCCTGGATCTGAAGGCACAGTCCCCATAGCTAAACTGTCCAGGTAGTTAGTTCTCAGCCTCCCTTTGTGACTAACACTTAAAGTTCTCTCTCCCATCTAAGCAAATGAACCTGCTGTAATAGAAGAGAGGGTTTGAGGGTTTGAGATTCTATACTGGGGAGATTAAAATATTCTTACCCATGGAAAAGTAGGAGTGATATAATAGATCCTAGAAATGGTTGGAAAGGGTCTAAAAAAATAAGAATCTCTGAAAGGAAATGTAGCAGTCAATAGAAAAACAAGATACCTACTTTATGTGCTGTTGGGTGTAAATTTGGACGAGAAAGTTAGGAAACATTGTGGCATAAAAGCACTGGGGCAGGGGCCATAATATTACTCTGGCCACAGGGAGGCAGTATGAAGAAGGATTTCCCTCAGTCACACCTTCCCTGGTTGTCTGATAACCTGGTTCAACCCTCTCCCAAACCTACACATGCCCATATCATTCTTCCTACAAATCTCAGCTCATCATAATTTTCTAATCAAGTTCTGGGAAGGGTAGAGAGTCGCTTCCAACAAGAATTCAGTCAGAGGCTGGAACCACAGCCTGTCTCTTTCGCTTTGTCTCTACCCTATCGAGAGTGGAAGGCACTCTCTAAACTCTGAATCTCAGAGTGATCTCTGGAGCTTGGATCCCTTGGGCTAAGGGCCCTCTGAGCTTCCTCAAGGCTGGGATGCAGATGTGAGGATACCCAAGAGGTTGACCTCACTGACTTTTCCCTGGGAAAACCTGCTCCTCTAGTTATTCCAGATTGCTTGGCTCCACCCTCCACAACAGACAAGCATCTTGACCCTGGACAACTCACCCTGCTCCCTGTGCTGTGCCCCTGGGAGAGATAATAGGCCTGCTGGATAGCAGTAAGGAGGTGAGGCTGGGTTTCTAGCTGGGAAGGAAGAACACAAATATGGCAGGAACCTCCACAGCCTGTTTCAGTGTCTGACCCCTTGAAGGGCAAGGCCCCTGGGAACTGATTCCTCTCTTACCTGGAGTAGCCTTGACCTGGACCATGGGATTGAGCAGCACCAACAGTGTCATCATTAGAGCCACTGTCCATGGGCCCTCAGCGACCTGCAGGACCATCATGAAGCTAGAAAAGGATGACAAGATGGAGAAAGCACCAAACACGGAAAGAGAGACTCCCTAAATGGAATTTCAGTCTGAGATATTGGAGACCATGAACAAGAATCATCTCCTACATTCCCTGGGATTGGACAGATTCTGAGAAAAGAACCAATGAACAGTGAGCTTTGTATGAGTCATCGCTCACCAGGCAGAGGGTAACAGGTCTGATCATTTAAAGTATATGCTGCCTTGAGCCTGGTCTGGGCAGGCCTTAGGGGCAAGTCAGTGCTCGGTACCTGGGAGCCACCTTGGAACTTTTGGATCCAATAGCTCACCTTCCAAACAACCTGTGCTTGCCTCCAGCCTGCCCACTGGGAGTCTTAAGCCCAGTCTAAGCAGGTCTTTACGGGAAATCTGTGCTTGGGTCCTGGGAGATACTTCAGAACTTTTGGTACACCAACCCACTCAGTGAGTGACTGGATCATCTTCACCAAGTTATAGCTCCTTAGCTTGCTACCACCTCATCAAGAACTGAAGATTTGGTTGAAATTGCTTTTCACTTAACACTTTGAATATATCTTCCCATTCTTTCCTAACTTGCATTGTTTCTGACGAGAGGTCCGTTGTTAGCCTGATGGAATATCCTTCGAAAGTTACTTGATGTTTTTCTTTTGACAATTTTAGTGTCTTATCTCTGTCTGTGGTTTTGGTCAATCTAACTATGATGTGTTTTGGAGAAGATCTTCTTGGGTTAATTGTATGTGGGTCCTTTGTATTTCTTGGGTGTGGATATTTGAGTGCCTCTCTAGATTTGGAAAATTTTCTTCCAGGATTTCATGGAAGTCTCTTCACCTCTAATAAGTCTCTTCACTCTCTTCACCTTCTAGGATACTGATTATCCAGATGTTTGGACATTTAATGGTATCTAATATTTCTTGTATATTATTTTCATTTTGGGGGGTTATTTTCTCAGTCTTTGTGGTGAATTTTTCTAGGCTAGAGATTGCCATCTGATAGTTTATCTTCTGCATGATCTAATCTGCTTTTAGTACTTTCAAAGGAGGTTTCGATTTCCTGTATTATAGCCTTCATCTCTAATGGTCTCATTTGATTATTTTTTATGGAGTCTATTTCCTCTTTCAGATCATGCAAGAACTTTATCACCTCTAGAACGTGTTGTCTCTCTTCTCCTGCATTTTCTTGAGTTCATTGCCTCTCTTCTCTTGCATCTCTTAGCTTTGTCATTGTGACTATTCTAAATTCTTTATCAGATATTTCAATGCGTTCCATTGTTCTGTCTGTGGATGAAGAAGAGTTGTTATTTTCCCTTGGGGGAGAGATATTTTCTTGGTTTCTCATATTTGTTGTGCCTCTGCGATTGTTTCTGATCATCTGATGGATTATATGTTTCTTCCTAATTTCTTAAAGTTCAATCTGAGCATTCAGAGGTGTGCAGGAGGAGGTGATCTGCAGTCTCTCTTCAGTTCCACTTTCCTCCCTTTGTGTGGCAGATTCAGTGGGAACTGAAGATTATTCTGGCCCTAATAGTATTCAGATGTTTGGCTACTGTCCACCTAGACCTGTCTAGACACTCATTGTGTGGAGGCTGAGAAGCAAAGTGATGAAGATAAATGAAAAAGGAAAAGGAAAAGAAAACAAAGAAAGAAAAGAAAAAAAAAACAAAGAAAAAATATATATTTTTATAAATCCCAAAATGAAAACTGTGCAAAACACAAGCACTGTGTGAGAGGAATTATACCTCAAATGCAGATGGCTTCTCAGCCCGTGCTTTTGCCTCTCCTAAATGGGAGGAAGAAAAGGTGAGAATTAGCAACATAAACGATGATCTGAGATCCAAGAAAATACATTACCTTAAAAAAATATATATATTGGCAGTGCTGCCAATGCCCCAGTGGAGAAACTGAGTTTGTTTTTCAGTGGTTTCTTTGTCCTCATTTGAAAATGTGAAAGAGAGGTGGGTGCCTAAGATAACTCATCACAGTCTAAAGATTCCTTTCTTTCTTCTTTCTTCCTTTCTTCTTCTTCTTCTTTTTTTTTTTTTTTTAGAGGTTTTTTGCTGTAGGGCATGTGCGCTTGCCAGAAAGACTGAGAGACAGAAAGCGAGAAATCACCCCCCAGGAGGGATGGCCATCCTGCACTCCCTTCTCCATTCTCCTCTCCTTACACAGAAGGCCTAAAGAATGTATTTGATGAAGCAATCTGGCTGCCCCGGAGCCTCCAGAATCTAAGAAGAGCCACAGGTGTGTGCTGCTATGAGGATCTCTCCAGAGCTGTTCTGCACAGCTGGTGTTGACATCATGCTAAAAGCAATGTTTAAATCAAACTAAAGATTACAAATTAAAATTCATTTTTGCAAAAAGTAATTTAAAAAATGAAAGAGAGAGAGAGAGGAAGAGACAGAGCGAACACAGAGGGTGCCCTACCACTCTAGATTGGGATCTGGAGGGTGAAGTCTCAGCAGAAAATTTTCAGCTGTCCTAGCCTCTGAAAGGGATTGCTCACAGCTCGAATGCCAGTGGCCTCTCCTCAATTTATACTGGTTATCTGTGCTTTATGTCAGAAACTGAAAGTTTGGAGGGTATAGTACAGAGTGGGCAATGATAGATACTAAAGATAGTATGGATAAAGTAATATGGAGGTGGGTAATGGAGGGAGGGAAGAGGGGAGGAGAAGAAAAAGAAAGTAAGAGTACATTCAATTGAGAAAAAAAGAAAAGTTATTTACTGCTGCTGATGTATATAGTAATGTCTTTTTCTTGACTAATATTCATGATAATCATGCAGGAAAAATGTTATACACTAAAGATATATGTGATTAAATGTAATATAAAAATAATAATATAAAAAAGAAGACAATCAGAAAAAAAAACAGGAAAAAGATAAAAAAAATAGTAGTAATCATCCTCCTTTCCTCCTAGTCCAATCAGTAGTCCTAGGCAATCAATAGTCTGCTTTTTGTCATTATTGAAATGACAGAATGTGTCCCCACAAAAATATCCACAAGTATGTTCATAGTAGCATTATTCTTAATAGTCATAGGCTATCTAGCCCTCTTTTTTTCCCCTTTGATTTTAATACAGATTATACAACTTTATTTAAATTATATTTTACATCACTTCCAATCTAAAAATGACAGGAAACTCTTGTGGATTTCTATTCAGATTAATACACTCTTTGTCCCCCTTTATAATGCCTTTGACTGATACTTCTATTTCAAGAGAATATGCCCACCAGTTCTGGAATGTTTTTTTACAGCATACAAAATGAGATTTTCCATCCATAGTACATTGTGTATTGTCTCAATCAAGCACATGAACAAACATTTATTATTTTTTTTTTTTAATTTGTTTTTATTTTTTAACATTAATATGCTATACATCATTACAGTATACAAAATGAAGTTTTCATCCAAAATACATTGTCTGTTGGCTCAATCAAGTACATCAACATATGTGTTATCAACAAACAATTTTTCCATTTCTTTTTTTTTTTCCATCCAGAGTACACTGTATATTGTCTCTATCAAGCATATCAACAAACATGTTATTATTAGCAAGTGATCTTCCATTTCTTGTTTTCTGTATGTTTTGCTTTTTTCCCCCTATCCTTGGTTCCCTCTCTCTTACCCTCTGCCACCTCCTGTTCTCCTCCCACACTTTCTCTGTTATCTATGTTTGCTTTCTATACCATTTTCCCCCCACATTTTATTGAATCACCAAAGACCCTCATCAATCCAAATACCCTCCTAGCAAACACATGTGACACATTTCCATGAGCACAAGTCTAACTTTACGCATCCTATCAAGTAGCACCTAACTGGGGCTACATATCCTACTGCAGTCATTGAATAGATATATTTTGTTTTCCTGAAACTCTTTTTTGTAACTCAATTTACATTCCTTCTCTAGGCATCATCACAGCACACAAAATGCGATCTCCCATCCAGTACACACTGCATAGTGACTCAATCATGCACATTACAAAAAATATAAATTTCCACTTCTAGTTGCTAGAATTAATTCCACCCCTCTTTCTGACCCTCTGTCCCTTCCCACCCTCCTCTCACACCACCTCTAGTGTCCAAAATTGTCCTCCATTCCCTTCCCACCCACATTGCATTGATCACACAATTTCCTACATAACCTGACTACTTTCAAAGGTGAGTTCCCTCGTTACTACTAAGAAAACCAGTTTTAACTTAAATCAAAGAACCGCCAAGGAACTTTGCTTAAAGCCCGGAAACAGGTTAGGATTCTGTTCAAATGGTAGGTGCATGAACCTATCAGTCTCATATACTTTTATCTTCTGTTCTGGTTCAATTTTCCTGATTAAATTCTGGGATATAGTATTCAACTCCAGACTTGTCCCTATGATTAAGTTAGCTACTTTCTCAGTTTTTGGACTCTTATTTCCATGTATCTGCGTTTAGTTTTCCTGATACAGCACATCCTTGAGAACTTCTTGGAGGTCTGGTCTGGTGCTGGTAAATTCTTTCAGGTTTTGTTTATCTGAGAATGTTCTTGTCTTTTCTTCCCACCTGAAAGATAATCTTGCCGGATACAGTATTCTTGGCTGAAACTGCTTCTCTCTTAACACTTGGAATATATTTTCCCATTCTCTCCTCGCTTTTATTGTTTCTGATGAGAGATCTGCTGTTAGCCTGATGGGATGTCCTTTGTAGGTAACTTGATGTTTTTCTCTTGCTAATCTTAGTATCTTGTCTTTGTCTGCAGTTTTGGTCAACCTGGCTATAATGTGTCTTGGAGAAGATCTTCTAGGGTTGATTCTATTTGGGGTCCGTTGTATTTCCTGGGACTGGATCTTTGAATGCCTCTCTAGGTTTGGAAAGTTTTCTTGCAGGATTTCCTGGAATAGATTATCAATGCCCTTATGGGTTTCCTCACCTTCTGGAATGCCAATTATCCGGATATTTGGACGTTTGATGGTATCCAGTACTTCTCGCATATTATTCTCAAATTTTTGTGCCATTTTCTCAGCCTTCATGGTGGATTTTTCTAGGCCAGCCATTTTCTCCTCTACATCTGAGATTCTATTTTCTGAATGATCTAGTCTG